CCCGTGCCCACCGTGTCGGGACCCCAGGAGGAGAGCGCCCCGGGGGCGTGGGGGCCAGGAGAGCTGTGCCCGAGAGCTGTGCCCGAGCGCGCCGCCGTGCCCGGCTGTGCGCGGGTGTTTGCTGCTGTGCCAGGGCTGAGAGCACACGTGCTGCTGTGCACGGGGCACGGGGGGTGCTGGCCACAGCTCTGGGCACAGCGACACGGGCACATGCAGCCACATGCTCCAGCCACGGAGAGCAGGAGATGAATGGAAGGCAGGAGGGGTGTGTTGTATGCAGTTCCCGTGGGCTTTATTTCAGCCACACACTAAAGGCTGCAGGGACAATTTTAATTGAATTCATTATCAAACAAATCAGAGCAAGGAAACGAGAAGTATGCCAAAATCTACAAAAGCACCTTCCCCACACTCTCCTCCCTTCCTCAGCTTTATCACCAATTCCCTCCCTCCAGAAGGAGTTGACTGACAAAACTTTGGGAGGGGCTGAGGGTATAAAAGGCAGAGCATCCATTTTGTAAACAAGCACGTGGCTGACAGTCACAGAGACCCCCAGTGCTGTCATTTTTCCTTATTCAGTCCGTTGTATTTTTTGGTTAAGGTTTAAAAGCCTGTAAAATTTTTAAAGTGAGGGTCCTTTCTAACATCTTCCAAGGACAGTCCAAAAGTCTCCCCTTCAGGCCACTTTGTGATGATTTCCAAGAGCCCAGGGTGATTTGGATTTCCCAATTGAGCTTATTGTATAATGTTATTAAAAAATATATAGGTATTGGCTTTCACATTGATGTACTAACTTTTGTTTTGCAAGTCATTATTGACCACAAAAATCCAGATAAAGTGCAATTTCTAATTACTGCTTTTGATACAGTATAATCTGTCACTTTAATCAATCTAATGTATGCACTGGCAGTGGCTCTGTCAGGATGCTTATCCAGCAGGAAACCAAGGTGACCACAAGATGTGATGTTATCTGCCTAAAAACTGAACTTGCTTTATGGTTCCACTTTAATCTCCTGCTACCAGGAGCAGCTGCCCTCCTGCCAGTGCCCTCTGACAGCTGGGTCTCAAAGGCTTTGTTACACTGCAGGCTTTCAGGTGCTCCTGGAATCTCTGGCACTGCTGTAGAAAATGAAATATATGCCTTGTAAAAGTGTACCTTAAGTCAGCACTGCCAGCTGTACATCAGAAAGTGATTTTCTGTCTGACTGAACCAAAACTTCTTTAGAAAACAGGAGACCTTACATTGATGAGAATTATTTATTAGAAATTAGAATTATTTATTATTACTATAAATTATAATTATTTAATAGAAATTGCAGTTGTTTTCCACGCAGATTTCCATGCATAACACCTTTCTCCCTTTCAGTCCGAGAAGAAATCTTGATGAAAACCTTTGTTTGACAGTCACTGTCCCCGCTGCAGAGAGGCCTGGAGCTTTCCTCACCTGTCCCAGGGACGGTGAGCTGCCCCCCACAGCAGCAGAGGCCACACGTTCCCCCTCAGGGGAGGAGTGGAAGGTGCCCTTGGCAGAGCACAGGCTGCTCGGGCACTGGGCTCAGGCTGCTTCAGCTCCTGCCCCACAGCCCATGGTGATGGGAGGGGTGAAAAATGCCACGTGTGCTGTGCACAGCAGTGACCCTCCAGCAATCTTTGCAGTCCTCTCCTTGGAGCTGCTCGGGCTCCTGGGGAGCACAGGACAGCAAAACGAGCTCAGCGCGGCCCTGCAGGGCAAGAGGCAAGAAGCAAGAGCCCAGCGTGGTCTCTTTGAGCTTTCCTTTAGGACAGGCCTGTGTGTCCCCAGCCCAGGGCACAGAGGGGCTCTCCAAAGGGTGCCACGATGTCCCCGTGCCCACCGTGTCGGGACCCCAGGAGGAGAGCGCCCCGGGGGCGTGGGGGCCAGGAGAGCTGTGCCCGAGAGCTGTGCCCGAGCGCGCCGCCGTGCCCGGCTGTGCGCGGGTGTTTGCTGCTGTGCCAGGGCTGAGAGCACACGTGCTGCTGTGCACGGGGCACGGGGGGTGCTGGCCACAGCTCTGGGCACAGCGACACGGGCACATGCAGCCACATGCTCCAGCCACGGAGAGCAGGAGATGAATGGAAGGCAGGAGGGGTGTGTTGTATGCAGTTCCCGTGGGCTTTATTTCAGCCACACACTAAAGGCTGCAGGGACAATTTTAATTGAATTCATTATCAAACAAATCAGAGCAAGGAAACGAGAAGTATGCCAAAATCTACAAAAGCACCTTCCCCACACTCTCCTCCCTTCCTCAGCTTTATCACCAATTCCCTCCCTCCAGAAGGAGTTGACTGACAAAACTTTGGGAGGGGCTGAGGGTATAAAAGGCAGAGCATCCATTTTGTAAACAAGCACGTGGCTGACAGTCACAGAGACCCCCAGTGCTGTCATTTTTCCTTATTCAGTCCGTTGTATTTTTTGGTTAAGGTTTAAAAGCCTGTAAAATTTCTAAAGTGAGGGTCCTTTCTAACATCTTCCAAGGACAGTCCAAAAGTCTCCCCTTCAGGCCACTTTGTGATGATTTCCAAGAGCCCAGGGTGATTTGGATTTCCCAATTGAGCTTATTGTATAATGTTATTAAAAAATATATAGGTATTGGCTTTCACATTGATGTACTAACTTTTGTTTTGCAAGTCATTATTGACCACAAAAATCCAGATAAAGTGCAATTTCTAATTACTGCTTTTGATACAGTATAATCTGTCACTTTAATCAATCTAATGTATGCACCCTATAGCTTTTATAAACATGGATATAATAGATACTATCTCAGACTGAAGCATAATAGAGACTCTGAAATGTTGGAATGATTTCTCCATGTAACTTACTCAGAAAAGGGTGTAACATAATTAAGTGATTTTCCACATTTAGGGACTGTCTTATGTGAAAGAGAAGGTAACAGAAACTAAAAACAGAGAACTGAAAAAAATAGAATGATTTATTGATTCTCATTACCAAGGAGTGAACATAAACAAGATAGAACCACAACAAAAATAAAATATATTATCTTAATAGGCAAGATGGCAGGAAGACATGTCAAAAGTGAAAACCAAACAAAAGAACATGTAAACCCAAAGGAATTTGCAGCGGCAGCGACTGGCCTCTGAGTCTATGGATTCCCGGCTGGCTGCGGCCAGCACCGCCGGCAGTACTGAAGGGGGAAGGGCACCCTCCCGCTGAGAGACTTCCTGGGGAGAGTGCTTAAGGCGGAATGCCTTCAGGAGAGCGAGAATCCTCGGAGCCGTTTGGAGAGGAGTCGAGTCGGGCTGCGACCCACAGGAGAAAGACAGGACTGCGCCGACAGGGAAAAGGAAGGTGTTTTATTGAAAGTGCGTCGTGCGCGGACAAAAATGCATGCCCGGCAGGGCTTTATAAACAGAATACAATGACCAATCTAAATTTTTGAGAGGAGGGAATAACGCGTAACAAACATCTCGGATCTCCAGTGGGAATAAACTGAGGGTTGAACCCTGACCCCTGGTCCAATCATTCAGTGTCCAAGACAGAAGGTTCTAGATGGAAGGGCATGGACACTGAATAACAGACAGGCAGCCAGGGAGGGATTAGGAGAGATAACTCGTAGGGAAAGGGAGTGGAAAAGTGCAACTGACGGGACAATCAAGAAGAGGGAGAGAGAGAGAGCCCGGGCAGAACCATAAACAGGAATGGGGGGTACAGGAATAAACCAACTTAAAACTAATGCACCCCTACAGGAATTATATATTATGTAACTAGTAAAACTATGGATGCACCCCCTATAATACAACAATATGTAGACAACACATTTTAAATTAACTTATGTGGGCAAATAGCCCAGCAGCACAGTGCTGGTTTTAGTACATTTTTTCTCCTAAAAACATTCAAAAAAAGTGCAAATAGTGAGCTGTATTTCCCACACATATGGGGCTGCTGCTTCCAGCCACTGCTGGGGCCCAGCAGAGCACCAGGCCTCTTCCAGACCTCGGGAAACAGCCACACACCTGCCAGCCCTGGCCTTGGCAGGTGACACCGGCCCCTGCCTAGAGGCCCCAGGGGTGGCCCCGCACTCACCCAGCAATCTTTCTTGTATATTCCGTGTTGCTGATTCCTCGTAAAGGTCCTCATTCAGATCGCCACGAATGGAACAGAATTCACTGCCCTCTCGCTCAAAGCCAGAATCTGTTTCCCTGGAACAATCAGCACTTTGCTCCGGAGACATCAGGAGTGCTGACAGATCCTTTGGGAGCTCGGCCTCGGGAGCAGCTTTGCAGCCGCGCTGCTGGGAACCCCCCGTGCCCCTCAGCGCGGCCCCTCCGCCCGCAGCGAGCCCCGGGCTGGGGCAGCACCGACCGCGGGTCCCACCTGGGCTGGAGCCCCCGCCGCTCCCGCTCCGCTCCCGCCGTACCCACCGAGCGTGGCAGCTTCCGCCGCACGTTTGAGCCGATTTGATCAATCAGCGGGCGGGAGTGCAGCCAATCGCGGTGCGGCCGTTTTGCTCCCCGAGCCCGCCACGGCCCCGCTCCCCGGCGCTCCCCGCTGCCTTCTCCAGGATCGGTTCCTTCACCGCTCTGGCTCCTCGCGTCCCTGCCGGCCGGGATTCGGGGATCTAAACACAAGTCCCTTTCGATCGCAATGGAAATTCGCGGGGCCGCACGGCCCACGGCGAGCCCCGGGCGGTCCCGGCTCCCTTCCCCTGCGCCGCCTGCGCTTGCCCCGCTCCCGGGGCCCGGCCCGGCCCGGCGGCTCCGCTTCCCCCGGGCCGCCTCACTGCCCCCGCGGCTCGGCGAACCCCCGGCATCTGCCGGAAGGGCTCTGCCTGCCCGACTGCTGAAACATCACGCTCCGTATTCTAGAATGCCTCAAAAACGTGCTGAAATGCTTTTAAAAGTTAATACTGTGTTTGTAGTGAACTCTGATTTCTCTGAGAATTGTTACTGGAGAGATTCAAAGCGGTAAATGCAGTGCCTTACTACTACTACTACTACTACTATTACTACTACTACTATTATTATTATTATTATTATTATTATTATTATTATTATTATTATTATTATTATTATTATTTCCAGCATACCACAATCTAATTTCTTTAACAGAGATGCTGATAACATTTACCATAGGCTATTATAATAAATACAATCTCAAGAAGCTCCCGGTTTGTTGGACACTTTGCCAAATTCTACATTGTAGTTTCTTTTGGTACAATTGCTCTTTAAAAAGTCTTAGTAAAGTTATGGTTCCATAAAATTTGTGGCTACCAAGAGTTTTTCTCAATGTGAAATTACATAGGATCAGCGTATTTGTCACACTTCTCTAATCCCTCCAGTAAATCCATCATGCCGTTATTTCAGCCATGCTTTGTTCACATTTTCAGTGCCTTTTGGTATTAACAGCAGCAGAAAAAGTTACATTTTGTAGTACCCAGAACTTTTAAGGACACTGATTGTTTGTGGGATTCTGTTTCATTTGAGTATGATTTTAGTGTTGGTAAGATTAAGCAAAGTTAGATCTCAGTAATGTTATGTTTTATTACTCTGTCGAGTTAATTTTAAGAGTTATTTATGTCGAGGTGGATTTCTGCCAGGTTTGAGTGTTGCTCAGTTTAGACAAGGTCAAGTTTCAGTCTTCTTCACTTTAACACTTTTCATCTTCTATTCCAGTTTCATAAGATCACTTTTTATTCAGTATTAAAGATGGTAACTTTCAGTTCCTTTAAGTGTACCTCTAATTCTACTGAGGCGACGCTGAATTGCACTGCAATTAATTTTAAGTCCCAAGTTAATTTTGTTTCAATATGAATGTTTACATTCCAAGATGTAGTTACTTCCTTCTACAGATGAGACAGACCCAGCTGAAACAGCAGTGATGGAACACTGACAAACACCTGCCCTTGCACAGAAGATCCAGTTTGCTGAGCCCTTGATCCCCTCACAGACTGCACAGGTGCCAGTGCTGCCCTGCCCAACAGGATCATTCATTGGCATCTCTTCTGTTTTATCTCCCACAGATAACTCAGGAGAGTGGGGGGTTGTCCTGCACTATGGCTGTGATCCACTGGGAGCTGTTCCTTGTTTCATTGCTATGGATCCAGGAGTGCTGGAAGAATATTGTCTCAAATTCCTGAGGCAGTCACTGCTGATGTATTGGTTCCATCATGTGAATTCACTGGTTTTTAGAACAGGCATTGTTCATAAGATATCATTACCTTGTTTATAAGTGGCTTTTCACAAACTTTGACACATCTTTGTGTAACTCTCACAGACACGTGTCGCTCTGGGATCTCTGTTCTGTTCTCCAGCTGCAGATGCCTCTCTTTGAACAGGCTCTGCAGCCGTTCCTGCCCTGCCTCCTCAGCCTTTGCTCCCTTCTCTTGTTTCAGCAGGGTTGCTGTGCCTTGAGCCAGGGCTGGCCCCTGATTCTCCTGTGCTTTCAGAGTTCCAGGATAAGATCTCTGGGCTCTGTGGAAAGCCTCACCTGAGCTGAGGCTCCTGTGGTCTTTACCAACCCTTCTGTGACACATCCTTGTGGGGCAGGGCTGTGAGCTGCTGAGGACAAGGCTGCTCCTGCTCTGAGGGAATCAGACACAGCCCCAGGTATGTTCACTGGAGGGGATTTCCCTCAATTTAGCCTCCAAAGCCGAGGGAAAATGCAGTTTCCCTCAACAAAGACCATTCTGGGAGCTTTTGCACATCATTTTTGTCTGTGCAGGTCCCTTCAGATGGAGGGTCTCCTCGATGGCACTCTTACCATGGCTCATCAAGGGGTTCCTCTCAAGGGAAGCCCTTTCGGACCAGGCACAGCGGGGTTTGCCCTCAGTTTGAACCTGACAATGATGAAAATGGGGCTCTTTCCCTCAATTCAAACACCACCATAAAGGTTTTCCCCTTCCATTTAAACATGGAAAATCATGGAAAACGGAGATGCCACCAATAGAGGCACCCAAAATAATGAAAAAGTAGTTTTCCTTCAAATGAGACCCTTCAAATCCCAGGTGAAATGGGATCCTCCCCAGTTCAAACACAATTACAGAAAAGCTTTCCCCCCTCCATTTAAATCCCTTTTCTCCTTGTCACCCCCATTTTTGGGGGCACTGGGGAGGGACTGGGGGCACTTCCCCCTCCCCACTACTCACCCCTGGGGCTGCTGCACCTTGCACAGTGCTGAGCACTTCCCTCCCAGTTCCCTGCCAGTGTCCCTCTTCCTGGCAAGCCCCGGCAGGGATGGGGAGAGCCCTGGGCAGGAGCTGGGAGCACCATTCCTGCCCAGGGCTCCTGAGATCCTCCCAGTGCTCCTTCTTGCTCACTCCCGCTGCTTCCACCATCCCTCCCAGTTCCCTCCTGGCATTCCCTGTGCTCCCAGTGTTCCCAGGATCTCTCCCAGTGCTCCCAGCAGCAAAGCACTGGGGCACAGCGTGCTCTGCTCTGGAAGAGGCGAGACTGGAGCTGCCAGGAGAGAAATCCCGAGTGGAAAAGCATTCCCTGCAGAGGAAGGGCTCTCCCCTCTCTGAGCACAGAGGCAGCTCAGGCTCCGGTGCTGACTCCAAACCGCTCCAGCTCCGAGTCCCGCTGCCCGAAATTGGGATGGCCCCACTTCCCAGCGCCCTGCTCCGAGCTCACACGGCTGAGGGGGCACTGCAGATTCAATAATTAATGCTCCTGGGCACTGCTTGAGCTCTGAGCTGCACACTGTCACACAGCACAAAACCCTTAACCAGGATGGGTTTCTCCTGCTGGCACAGGAAGAGAAGGAGAAATCTGACAGGAATGTTCTCCATCGTTCTGCCCAGGCTTTGGCAAACACTGCAGCTCCTGCACTTCGGGAATAACAAGTGGCCGATGAGAAGTGACTTTGGTGTCAGTGAGCAGGTTATCATGGATTGATCTCGCACTGGAGAGCAGTCTTCACACCCACTGCTCTCGGCATCACCCAAAGAGTTTGGAGGCTGCTGCCCGGCAGCTCCTGAGTTGTGTCTTCATGGTCAATCTCATCAGACCCTTGTTTAGTTGTAAAAACATCAATAAAATGCACAGAGCATTGGCCCAGGGTCTCAGGACTTGCATATCTCTTCCAAAGGAAGAGGGAAAAGAGTGTTTCTCCCAAACCACAGAGTTAAAATGTTCATGTTATCTACATATATTTTTAAAAGGAAGAGAACGAAAACAAAATATCCATTAATGTCCAAATGGTGCTTCTGTCTATTTCTGCTCTATTTTTTCACATGTTGAAACTCTAAGAAGACTTAAAAAAAAAAAAGCCACCAAGCAAACAAAAAACCCCACTAAATTTAAGCTGAAGGAGAAGCAATCTGGCTGCAGGCTTGTGGCACTCCACTGCCTGAGTTCCAGTCAGGGAGCTCATGCCCTCTGCAGTTAGAAGCCAAAGTTAGATCCCAAAGCACTGAGCATGAGCTTTCAGCTTTTTGAACACTGAACTGTAAGGAAAGCTGCTGGGCAGGGCCATGCTCCAGGCACATCTGTGGCATTTCCTCTGTCCAGCTCTCTCAGCTCAGCTCCTGTCTTTTCCTCTCCTGGCTGGGTTTGGCTCCTGCATTTCTTGAGGGGCTGGCCCTGCACTGATCAGAGCATGAACTGACCATAGACAAACAGCTTCTGGCAGGGTGGGTCTATCCTAAATGGAACATTTCCCAAAGTTATTCCAGTGCCTTAGTTTCACTTACTCAAGATGGCTTTTATAGGAACCTGGTTTAATGCATTCCATTTCTAAACAAGGAGTGCACAACGCTCCTGCACTCCCTGCCAGGGTCATTCTTTGAGCCTTGGTGAAAGGCTTTAGGGCAGCACAGAGCCTGTTAAGCACCAACAACTTAATCCAAAATGAAAATTAATACCATAGGCAGAGCCTGACTTTAAAACTATTTTAAAACGAAATTAAAGAGCAGTTGCATTGCCAATTGAGAAGATTAGAAAGGTTTCCTTAGCAGTTGTTGAGATGACAAAGTAAGGGAGAGGGGACGGAGCCTGGAGTGGGGGAAAGAAGGGGGAAACCTTCATTTGCACAGTGCCTTTTTCACCATCGTGCTGACAGCTCAAGGACTTGTAGAAACTGTTCTAATCTCAAGAAGTGAAAAGTTTCCTGGATGCTTTTCATTTCAGCTAGAGCCTAAGGAAGCCCTCAGCAGCAGCAGGAGATTGGGATAACTGCAAGGCTGGTTTCTGGAGCAGAGGGAGCAGGGTGTGCTCCTCAAAGGCAGACCTTCACCCACAGCAGCCAGAAGGTAGAAAAACAAGGATCCAACACAGCCTTAAGTGGGGAACGGGTTATTATCAAGGGTTTTAAAAGGAAAGAAGAAGGTCTGGGAAACAGGACCTGGAAAGTGAGAGAGGAAGGAAAACGGGAGGCAGCTGAGGCCTCTTCAGATTCGAAAAGTGAAGAGAAGGGAGGAGATGGGAGGAGGAAAGAACAAGGCGGGTACTAAATTCTAACGCATCGGGCACGCCCCCTTTGGCTCCCTGCCCGGGAACAGAGCGCAGCGCCGAGAAGCCTCGGCCCCGGAGCTCCCCTCAATTTAGTCCCAAATAAAAAGTGAATCAAGGGGGATTTTTCTCAGTTTAGCCTCCTGAAATGAGGGGAAATGCAGTTTCCCTCTTTAGTTTCCCTCAACAAAGACCATTCTGGGGGCTTTTTGACATCTTTTTGATGTGTGAAGGTCCCTTGAGATGGAGGGTCCCCTCGATGGCACTCTTACAATGGCTCATCAAGGGGTTCCTCTCAAGGGAAGCCCTTTCGGACCAGGCACAGCGGGGTTTGCTCTCAGTTTGAACCTGACAATGATGAAAATGGGGCTCTTTCCCTCAATTCATGCAGGATGATAAAGGTTTTCTCCTTCCATTTAAACATGGAAATCATGGCAAGCAATGATTGCCTGCCAAGGGAGGCACCCAGAATGAGGAAAAAGGTGTGTTATCCTTCAACTGAGACTCTTCAAATCGCAGGTGAAATGGGGATCCTCCCCAGTTCAAACACAATTACAGAAAAGCTTTCCCCCCTCCATTTAAATCCCTTTTCTCCTCATAACCCCCCATTTCTGGGGGCACTGGGGAGGGACTGGGGGCACTTCCCCCTCCTCCCTGCTCACCCCTGGGGCTGCTGCACCTTGCAGAGTGCTGAGCACTTCCCTCCCAGTTCCCTGCCAGTGTCCCTCTTCCTGGCAAGCCCCGGCAGGGATGGGGAGAGCCCTGGGCAGGAACTGGGAGCACCATTCCTGCCCAGGGCTCCTGAGATCCTCCCAGTGCTCCTTCTTGCTCACTCCCGCTGCTTCCACCATCCCTCCCAGTTCCCTCCTGCCATTCCCTGTGCTCCCAGTGTTCCAGGATCTCTCCCAGTGCTCCCAGCAGCAAAGCACTGAGGGCACAGCGTGCTCTGCTCTGGAAGAGGCGAGACTGGAGCTGCCAGGAGAGAAATCCCGAGTGGAAGGGGTTAGGAGCGGTGGTGCCCGGCAGGGCTGGCCCGGGAGCGCCGGGCTGTGGGGATTTCTCTGCAGTGCCCCCGGCCTGGAGCCGCTCGGGCGCGGGGGGAGCGGCAGGAGCTCGGCAGCTGCTTGGGCTGCTGTGCCCAGGTGTGAGGTGTTCAGCTGCTTCTGTTCTCTGAGAAGAATTCACAGCTTCTTCTTTCTTTTCTTCCTCATTTTTTTTTTTTTGGTTGGTTTTGGTTTTGTTTCTTCTTTTGTTTTCTTCTCTCTCTTTTTTTTCTCTCTTTTTCCTTGTAGTTAATCGGGGAGGTCTGTTCTGCCATGTTAGTCTGTAGTTAGTTTGCCGAGAAGGTGAGCTGTTTACAGATGCTGTGGTTCGATTGATAAGACTGAGAGCAAGTATGAAGTCCACAAAGAGAATAGGAGGAAATACAAAAATGTCAAGCACAACCCTAGCATGTGTTTTTTTACGCCTCCCTTTTACCACTTCCTGCCTTCGTGTCCCTTCCTCTGTGAGTGCCAGTGTTGTGGAGCAGTAATGCAGCAGCTGGCTCTCGGAATGCAGAGGCAGATACCACGCGGATGCCAAGCTGCACAGCGATGCTATTCCCATATGACCCCACCTTGCCCTTTCCCCTGCCCTGTGACAGCCCCGGGGTCGGGCCCTGCGGAAGGGCAGGCTGGGCACTGGGCACGGCCTGGCACCGGGGCCCTCCGCCAAGGCGCAAGGAAGCATCTTCAGCGAGGGACAGCGAGCACGGCTGTCGCTGCTGAGAGACTTGGGGAGCGCCAGGCTTACCTGGGACACCGAGGGCAGGAACGGGACAGCAGCCACTTGGGTCACCGAGCTGCGGGGCTGCAAACCACAGCGGGACAGGGCTGGGCTCCCAGCGCTCTGGCTTTTCACTATTCAGTCCTTTGTTGTAGTTTTTGTCAAGGTTGAAGAAACCTTTCTGAAATTTTAAAATTGAGGGCCGTTTCTCACACTAATTTTCAATCTGCTCTTGTAGCAGCATTCTGTCAGAAGTACCAGAAGGTCATTACTGTGAGAGGACAGAGAGTTGGCCAAGCTTTGCTAAGGAAGTTGCAAAACTTTAGCAAAGTTCTCTTCCTCCCTCCTCTCCCCGGAAAAGCCGAGTCTGGTTCTGTTGCCCTCAGGCAGTTTGGTTTGTGTGCCTCATCTTGTAAATGTGACTGAGAAAAGATCTGAAATGTTCATTTCTTTAACACCTCAGCTGAAATCGTTAGTTCCCAGTTGATTTTGATGTTGAAAGCACTCAGTGTAGCTGCTCTCCATACAAAGAAACCTTTAGACATGTTTACTCTTACTGCCAGCAGAAGAGAATTTCCAGCAATTTCTGCAGTTTGTAGTAGTAATCCTAGTATTTGTGTGCTTCAATAGTTTATCTGGTTTGGAATAGGAGGAAAATTTCTGTTGGACTGCTGAGAAGCTGGACTCGGCTCTGTGAAACACACATGTTAAAGACCAAAAAACCCAGGCACCTCGTCTTTATTTTCCACTCGGTGAGGAGGTGGCGGCCCCGGCCCAGCCCCCGTGCCGGCCGGGCCGGGCCGGGCTCAGAAAAGGCTGGAACTAAATTCTAACTCAGCTGGGGCTGGGTTTAAAGGTAATAGAGGGAAACTGTAAAAAGAGGAGACTTCTTTATAGTAGCAAAGTACTGGGATAAATTCCCAAGAGAAACTGGGAAATCTCTATCAGCAGCAGCTCTCGGCAAAGAGGCCAGGAATCCATTCCCCATGCCAAAGCCAGGCTCAGGGGGCTGGGCCAGACAACATCCCTGGCTTGATCCCACCCCTGTTTTCCAAAAATTGCTGATAAATACAATTGTGCATTAACACAGCAAAGTCTTTCCTTCACTTCTCAGGCTTTGAGATGCCTCAGGTTGAGATGCAAACCCTGCTCCTACCACTTTGTTGTGCTCAGACTTTCCCCCTTTACCCAATTTCTTGAGCAACCAACAGCTCATAGGTAGTCAGGCAGGCCAGGGGCTTTTCCACAGCTTGTTTCAGGCAGAAAAGGAAGGGAAGGAGAAAAAAAAATAAAGAAAAAAGAGGACAAAAAGGAGGCTGTCCTGGAAAGTGCAGCCTGGCAACCTCCAGACAATAAAACACAAAGCACACAGGCAGCTCCTTGCAAGTGGGGGCTCACAAGCCTCTCCACAGGGCTGGTGGAGAATAGCTCTTTTTATACATCTCACCACAGCCTCATCCCCAGTGTGGGCTGTTTTCCTCCACAAAATCCATAGGTGTGTGCTTGCAATGGAAGTTGCTAAACAACTGCCTGAAAAACACAGGTGGGAAAGGGGGCATTTCTGCCTTACAGACCAGCTTAGG